TTTGTCACCGCGGTTTAGTCAGGCGCGCTTTTGTCGTTCGCGCATTTGTGGTGGAACCTAGGGAAAAAACCCCAGGGGTGTTCAAACTTGACAACTTTAAGACTTGTGGACTTCAAGTCCCAGAATTCTCCAGCCAGCAGAGCTGGCTGGAGAATTCTGAGAGTTGAAGTCCACAAGTCTTAAAGTTGGCAAGTTAGGGAACCACTGTCTTAATAGAACTATGAGACAGCAGTGGTCTTCTGCTTTGAAAGCAACAGGCATGAAGAGATTTTTTGCCATATCAATCCGCTCTTCTTGCCAAGGCCTGTATCATTTTAGTGGCTTTTTTCCCCAGATTTTTTTTATTTTTTTGTTCTCTTACATATTATTTTAAGTATAAATCCACATAATTGTTATTCTTCTTTACATTTATCATTCTTATACATTTATTATTTCATTTAATAGGTTATAATATACAGTTTGGGTTGCCTTATTTACCATCCTTTCTGCCTGTTGTAACACCACCTTGTTTTCCCTTTCTTTTCACCCTCCCTCCCTTCTCTCCTTCCTTCCTTCCTCCTCTCCTTCCCCTTCCTTCTTCCCTTACCTTTCTCCTTCTTCTCTTCCTCTTCCCTTTCCTACCCTCTCCCCTTCCATCCTCTCCCTTCCATCCTCCTCTCCTTACCTCATTCTTCTTTCCCCCATCTTCCTTTCATTCTCTTCTCCCCTCTCTCTTTCTTTTCTATTATTGTAGGTGACACTTTCAGATCTCAGTTTATGTTTCTTTGGGATGATATTTCCGCAAACCCAAATATAATTGGATATCATTTCTTATTCCCTTACCATTGCTAATCTATCCTAATTATATTTTCCTGCTCTGTACTGTTTTAGTGGCTTTGAAGGACACTGATCATTTTTATTTCTCTAAAGCATATTCTAAAGTGCTACTCCTTTGAAGAGAACAGGGAACCCACTTAAAATTTCACTCATGTATCAAATGTGTAGTTAGGAATGTGTCTCAAACTTCTTTAAAAAGTAACCATAGCTCCATTGATTCATAAAAATGGCCATGCTATTGAACTTGATTTCAGTTATGGTTCCTATCTGCAGAGGAGGAGGTTTGGGACAGAAAGACTAAAAAAAAAAAATTGAAAAAGGGGTGAATGGAGACTAAGTTGAAATATTTAATAAAGGAATCTGATGTCTGAAATCCATCCTCAGCCACAAAAGCTCCCTGGCTCTTTTGGACTGCACCTTATGTCTGCCCAGCCTACCACACAGTGATAGGTTATTGGGGGGAAATTAGACACAATAAATAATATTAATAGTTAATTGATTGTTTTATTTGGAATAAATTAAGACAGTTCATGGCATTTTTCAAAAATGAAAGAAGGGTATATTTCTCTTCTTCCTTTTTTCTTTTAGTAAACAATTCCAGTTAACAGAGCAAACTACATACAGGGTAAGACTTAATCTGATGATTTTATACAATTAAAGGATTTTCTCTCCTTCCCTCAGCTGTAACCTTAGCACTACTGAATTATCTACTGACACTGCAGGAAACAGCCCAGTCTAAGAGACACAACTACAAAGGTTTTCCATCTGTAGTCTCCACATGGACCATTAGACTTAACAACATGTTAGAAAGATACAACAGGATGAACTGGAAGTTTAGAATCTTCCTTTTAAAAAAAAACCTGCCCTTTGCTCTACAGAATAAGTGAATGCATATGGCTACCGCAGAAAAATGCTTTAAAATTGGGCATGTCAGAGTTATATCTCTACATTTTCTTGCTCAAGTGACTTTGGAATAAGAATTTAGAAGACTATTCCCTCAAGCTAAAATATCAGACAAGCATTTTGATGCTGATGTCCCTTCTCGCACTAGAGATAGATGGCCATCCAGTTCTTAGCACGACAGGAACCATTGACATGGCTGCTCAGTGATTTATATAAAGTGATGCATCAATGATATGCAGATGTAATTACTTGGAACAAAAATGGCATCTCATTTTCCCATGGGATGGAAAAAATGAATCTTTTATTTGTGGCTGTCTAGTCATTACTTGAATAACCCAGAATGTACTTTCATGGTAGTAATATGATTTGGATTTGAGATATTGGTGATGACTGAAACAAGATTTCATTCCAGTGTTATCTTCATGAGGGAACCTGTGTACCCTACTACCTTATATCCTGCTGGAATCTAGAAATCCCTGTTTTGATACTCCCAGAGTCAAGACAAAAGCAGGGAAGCCCCAAATTCTACTATTGCCAAAAAGGAGTATAGTACTTAGTTAACTGTTAAAGAGGTAAAATTAAAGGCAGCAGGCTTTTAGTGATCACAAGAATGAATACATGGTAGGTAGAGCTGCTTGTCTGATCATTCATAGCAATAGAGGGAAGCAGATTGAAAGAGAATTCGTTGTTTCCCTTCCCCTTGGTTTTTCAAAAAAGATAGCTTATAAGAAGTAGCTTTTTTAACATTAAAAACAATCATTTAATTTGGACCAAGAGTTAATCTGGTACGGCACAGTGCAGTTTTAACACCACTGAGACTATTATGGAAAGAATTAAGAACCGACTGAAACTCGCCCTGATCCAGTCTTGTTCAAATCCTATTCATTGTAACAAGGCTTCATAGGGTAGTTATGCTTTGTTGCTCTGTTACAGAATTTGGAAATCTGTTTTGCACAACAATAACTGTGCCAAATTTCAGTTCAGTATACAGTATAATAAATCAGCAGTGAAGTCCTTGGACAGATTTTATGATTTTTAACAATATTATTACCTCAATAAATAACAGCAGTTGTGTAAAATATAAGTATTTGTGAGGAAGAAGGAGACACCCTAAGTGGCAATTTCTGATTTTGTGCTGGAACAAACAACTTATTAATCACTGGAGTTTGCCATTAAACTGTGTTCTATTGATAGACTTTCATCTCCCGTTTTCCTGTCCTTGAAGGTGATAAATATGATTGCTCCGTTATCCATTTTTATTTTGAATGACAGAGGCTTCACAGACTTTGGCTGTGTGTCAGCTGTTGGATGACTGCCATCCACTAATGCAGGCCTCCCATGGAGAGCCCAGTAAAGAATTAGACTCTGATTCACTCGATTGTGTTAAATAGTCCAGCTGTTGAGATTTGAAAGATAGTTACCTCCAAAGTGAAATAAAAAGGACCTTGGCATTTATGGCTTTGTCCATTTTGATAGTGTTGTGGCAATCAGCATTTTGGAGGTAGCATTTTCTAAAATAACTGCCTTGTCATCATGTCATTTCCAAACTTTCATTCAGTGTAACGTTAAACATATTTCTCTTTCCATTTTCAGGAGAAACAAAAAACAAGGCTATAAATGCTCTGCACAATTTGGGTCTGAACAATTGCAGATTGGAAATGCTAACTGGACCTGTCAGAGGCCAGTTCCTGAACTAATTAGTCTCACACTCTAGTGTTAGATGGCAGGGTATATAGTAGGAATCACGAATATTAACTGAAGAGAAATAACATTTTTGCTGTTCATGAAATTCTCATTTTTATTGAAGAAACTTGTCCCTGTAATACAGAATTCATCATGGAAATCAGCAGGACTTCACTTAGCATAACACACTGCAAAATTTTATTGTTCTAAGTGAATAAAAACACATCACTTTTTTGTAACTGGCTTGTAGAACCAATGTCAAAAATCCTTGCACTTCAGTGTCTGTGATTTACTACTGCATTATGCCATGTAATAATCTCTGTCTAGATCTTCAAAATAAAATTGCAAATTAGCTGGTTTTTAAATGATTCTTAAAATATTTAGAATTTTGCCATAGGAATTGGTAAATAATTCATAGATATCTAATCCAGAACATACTTGGCTTTTCAGTATTCTGTTTAAGAAAGAATTCTTAGACCACCTTCCAAAGCATAATAGACAATAAGTACATTGCCATGAGAGATGAAATCTGCCTCCATCCTCCTTCTTTCTGGAAGGGTCTTGAAACCTGTCTTGGGCCCCCGATGGGAGTGTGCTATGCTGCAGATAGCTAGTAGAGAGACAAAAGCCCACTTGTAAACTCGGTTTTCACCTTTCTTAAATTGTTGTTAGTTTTGATTCTTTTATTTTATGCTTTTATACCACTGTAAGCTGTCCCAAGTCACTTTGGATACCAAAGCGAGTGGCATATAAATGTAATAAATAATTAAAATAAATCCATTTAAAGCTCACAACAGTAAAACAGTCATCAAAGCAGATACGTAATATTTAAACTATAGAAAGAAAGCTAATAAACTTAGTAAAATCACATTTGCACCTGGTGCATTGATTGGTTTATTAAATGTATATGCCACAATCTCCCCCATGTGGTGACTACTTAATTCTGTCAATAGAAGAATGTCAATTATAGAAATGCATGTCAATGATATAAGTGTTTAATATGCTAAGGTATTCAACTGTTATTAAAGCATCTTTTTATTTAAGCTGATACAGAAAGTAAAATGTTTTGTCTGGAAAAAAAAGACTAACCGAATACTTCCAATTTTAGTCCAGCTATTACTGGACTAAAAGTTAACATTATAACCAGTACTGCTGCCAACTCATGGATGATTTACTATATTTGCATTTTAACCAATTTACCTTTTACTAAGAGGAAATTCATAGGCAGACTTGTACTATCTTTGTTAAGTGCTAACAAGTGCTAGGAAAAAAAATGATTTTAGAAGCATTCATTGATTTCATTTACAGGAAGTAGTGATAGCTATCCAGTGGTTGAACTTTGCTGTAATTTTGAATCTTTACAGTAAACTATCATTTCTTATACTGTGTTAATAAATGTTTGAGATGGTGTCAACATTATGTTCAGTTTTTCAACTTAGATGGAACTTGTGTGAGAAGGCAATTATTATGTGTGTATGATATGAACAACAGACTCATAAACTGTGGTAGTATATGAAGCACGTGCTAAGACTGTAACTAACTGGTTGATTGTTGTTTATATTTTAAAAGTCTCTTTGTTTTTTTAATTTGCTTTTTAGGTCATCCAGCAATGCAGGACTTAAAAACAAGGTTGTTGATGCAGACAAGCAAGCTGAAATCATGGTACTATTCAATCCAGAGAAAATCAAAGAACAAATGCCTAAAGTTATGGATCAAGGCAAGATAACTGAAAACAAGGGTCAACAGCTTCATAAAGACACGAGTACTGAGAAAACAAAAGAGACCGACAGCTCTCTCTGTTAATTGATATGCTGAAAGGCATTGACTATTTCTGGAACTCTGTTTTCAATGATTGTCAGTTGTTTTGTTTATGAATATGGGAAAGGGCTATATTTTTTACTCATAATGTGTTTATATTGAATCCAAAGTCTTTACACCTCTTTCCTCTGTTTTTTCTTCTAAATTAATATATGGTGTTCACTTACTAGATTATGCAAAATGTTAAGATTTATTTGAATAATTTATATAAGTACTTTGTTTATAGTTTGACCAAAAAGCCTGCTAACCACCGGCGGTGGTGAGACCCCTCCTGAAGAAACCATCCTTGGATCCAGCTGTTCTTAACAGCTATCGCCCGGTCTCCAACCTTCCCTTCTTGGGGAAGGTTGTTGAGAAGGTGGTGGCCTTCCAGCTCCAACGGTCCTTGGAGGAAGCAAACTATCTAGACCCCTTCCAGTCAGGCTTCAGACCCGGTTACAGCACAGAAACCGCTTTGGTCGCATTGATGGATGATCTTTGGAGAGCCAGAGATGAAGGATATTCCTCCATCCTGGTCCTCCTTGACCTCTCAGCGGCTTTCGATACCATCGACCATGGTATCCTTCTGCGACGACTGCGGGAGGTGGGAGTGGGAGGCACCGTGCTACGGTGGTTCTCCTCCTACCTCTCGGACAGGTCGCAGTCGGTGTTAGTGGGAGGGCAGAGATCGTCCCCAAGGCCCCTAAATTATGGGGTGCCGCAGGGCTCGGTCTTATCCCCCCTACTATTTAACATCTACATGAAACCGCTGGGAGAGATCATCCGCAGGCACGGGATTAGATACCATCAATATGCGGACGATACTCAATTGTATCTGTCCGCCCCGTGCCAAATCAATGAAGCGGTTGACGTGATGAGCCGGGGTCTTGAGGCCGTCATGGACTGGATGAGGGTTAACAAGCTTGTGCTCAACCCAGAAAAGACCGAGTGGCTGTTGTGTTTTCCTCCCAAAGATTTGGCCAATATTCCAACACTCAGGCTGGGGGGTCAAATTTTACACCCCTCAGAGAGGGTCCGCAACTTGGGAGTCCTCCTGGATCCACAGCTGTCATTCGACCACCACTTAACGGCTGTGACCAGGGGGGCATTCGCCCAGGTACGCCTGGTGCGCCAGTTGCGACCCTACCTGAATCGGGAGGCTCTCACAACAGTCACTCGGGCCCTTGTGACCTCTAGGCTGGAATACTGCAATGTGCTCTACATGGGGCTGCCCTTGAGGAGCATCCGGCGACTTCAGCTAGTGCAGAACGCAGCCGCGCGAGTGATTGCGGGTGCACCTCGATTCACCCGCATAACACCTATCCTCCGCGAGCTGCGCTGGCTACCTGTCGATCTCCGGATGCGCTTCAAGGTGCTATTAATCACCCATAAAGCCCTACATGGCAGTGGATCTGGATACTTGAGAGACCGCCTTCTGCCAATTACCTCCCTGCGACCTATAAGATCCCATAGACTAGGCCTCCTCCGCATTCCATCGGCCAGCCAGTGTCGGCTGGCAACTACAAGGAGGAGGGCCTTCTCAGCAGTAGCCCCGACCCTTTGGAACGAGCTCCCCGTGGAGATTCGTACCCTCTCCACCGTCCAAGCCTTCCGCATAGCCTTGAAGAACTGGCTCGCCCGTCAGGCCTGGGGATAAGGATCGTTACCCCGCCCGAATGATGAATGTATGTTGTTTATTATTTTATTATATGTTGTTATCTTAATGTTGTATTCCCCCCTTCCTGGTTTTCTGTGAGCCGCCCTGAGTCCCCTCAGGGAAAAGGGCGGCCTACAAATGCTAATAAACCTATAAACCTATAAACCTATAAGTCTAATTTAAATAAGTAAAACAAGCCTTAATTAAGAAATACATGACATGCTCTTATATGACTGACACCTAGAACTCAATTTTTGGTTAATAGAAGATACAATTTTTCAGCCATTCTTTAAAATTTTATTAAAACTTGTGGCTTGCCACTACAAAGTAAAATAATAATAATTGTGTGATCTGGAATAGTATTTATAATAGATTATACTGAAGTTGAAGGAAATTTTGTATAAGCAATATTTTAACTGCATAAAAGTTATAATAAATACCTGTGATTGGCTAATTGTACCCTCTGCCTGGCACAGTTTGCCAGGAAAATAATATCCATTGCAGTCTCTATCGTATTATTATGGTTGGTCACACAGTCATTCAGATGCTTAGAGTGGATTTGGCATTTTTGTTCACCTATTGAATTCTTTCCAAGGCCCTGGGATAGGAGATGTTGTTTAAGGGTATATTGTTACAACAATGTGGAATCAGTATCAGGTCTTTATTATTATAAATATAGTAACATATTATATTATTATTGTTTGTTGTGCAGCCCACCAGATGTTTAGATTGGATTTGACAGTTTTTTATCTACGTATCGAGTCCTTCTTAAGGACCTGGGATAGGGAGATGTTGTTTGATGGTGTTAAAGATATTATTGTAGGATGTAAGCTGTTCTGAATGAAGCTGCCTTTTAACTGATGGTGATTTTGTCAATGCCAGTGGTGTTCAAATGAAGTTCCAGTTGTTTTGAGATTGCACCCAAAAAGTAATAACTTTTGGTCCTACCGTTGCTTTCTTTGGCTGCAGATGTTCTATTTTCACGTATTTCTGTTTTATTATCTTCTCCCATTTCTTTCTCTTCTATTCTACCCATCTCCAAATACTGCCACAATCACTATCTAGACTATGTTGTTTTTATTACCAAAGTTTTTAAATCTGGAGTGTGATTATTATTAACTTTTCTCTCTGCAAGCAATAGTAGGATGTGAATAGTCAGTTCGAAAACAATCCTCTTTTTTGGCCAGTTTGGGGTAGGGGACTTATATTAGATATTTTAAAATTAGATCTTATGATTCCACCTTTATTACTTTGTAAATAACATAAAGCAGTGAACATGCATAACGCTCCTTCCTCCTCGTATTTTCCCCACAACAAAAACCTCATTAGGAGTGTTGGGCTGAGAGAAAATGATTGACCCAAGGTGACCCAGCCAGTTTTTCATGCTTAAGCAGAGACTAGAACTCGAAGTTTTCTGATTTCTAGCCTGGTGCCCTAAGCACTAGTTGAAACTGGCCCTTATAGTCTTTGTATCTAAAGCTCTTCCTACGTATCCCGTACTTAACCACATGAAGTCTCTTCTGGGAAGGCATGCCAATTGTTGGATTTCAAAGCCATGCAAGAAATAAGAAGGAAGAGGCCACAGAATTATTGCAAGCGTTTTAATAAATGCATTTTGGCAGAGATCCCAATAAAGGAGACATTATTTTGTATGAAAGACAAAAAATGCCATGTCTGAGAAGTATCTACTTTTTACCTGAATACATTGTAAATTCTTACATTATGGTACCTTTTGAATAATAATTAATATGTCCAGTTAATTGGCTTACAGAAATAGGTATGGACTTCAGTGAATCCTCCAAGACTGGTGTAGAATTTCAGGCTATAAATTATTAAAGATTTCAGATCTAAATACTATATATCTCTAAAATAGATTAATATGTGAGCATGAAACAAATTGCAACAGAGGGACAGCAACCGAATGAGCGGGTTGAAGGACAGCATGAGATCCTGAATCATAGTTTTATAACTATGAACTAGGCTTTATATTAGCCCTTTGGGAAAGAAAAAATGAAATGAGGTGAGGCACTTAATCAAACTGGGAGACCTTTAGAGCTTTTTATATGCAAGGTAGTCATCTTCTATAAAAGATTTCCGTTAAAAATTTAGCCTTAGTTTTTGAGTTACACAGTTCTTAACTTTCACCGGAGAAGGCCTCTTCTAAGAAAAACAGCAGGAATCGTAGAACTATGCAATTTATATGGCATTTCAGAGTAGCTGAAATATTTCTCTTATTAGAAAAAGAGTGGCTCAGATTGCTCAACTGGGCATGAGGAATGGAATATATATATATAAGTTTCTTGCACTTTTGTTTTCCTGCCTTTTATACAGTCTAGAGCAGGAATGTCCAACCTTGGCAATTTTAAGACCTGTGGACTTCAACTCTCAGAATTCCCCAGCCAGTCATGCTGGTTGAGGAACTCTGGGATTTAAAGTCCACAAGCTTTAGAGCTGCTAGGATTGGGTACCCCTGTTTTAAAGCTTATATCTAGTTCAGTGTTTCTCAACCTTGGCAACTTGAAGATGTCCGGACTTCAACTCCCAGAATTCCCCAGCCAGCAAATGCTGGCTGGGGAATTCTGGGAGTTGAAGTCCGGACATCTTCAAGTTGCCAAGGTTGAGAAACACTGATCTAGTTGCTATAAATGCATACTTAATATCGGGCTCTATTCATTCGTACTTTTTGGTTGGTATTGAATTGAGGCTAAAATCTAGGGAGGGAGGGGTTATACGAATGCCATGCTCAGCTTTTGTGGTCTTCAGCAATTTTTTACAATCAGAAAATAAACTTGTTTTACAATTTTGCGCTACCTTGAGAAGATTACATGGCATTTATTCCTTATGTGTTTGTGGTTACTGTTTTTGACTAAACAAACTGCCGGTTATGTCTCGTTGATTTTGTCAAGTGCTTCCCAGCAATATAAGACATGCTATTTGAAATGGCTTGCTTAGACAGTGATGTTTGATTTCAATCCTTGTACGTGGCCAAATACTCTTGCCTGGGATTGAATTTATAGTTAGATAACACCATCCTGGGTAGCTATGTATATGTGTTGTATGTATGTATATGTGTGTATGCATGTGTGCCTTGCTCTGTTTCTACAATATAATATTAAAATATATCAGTAATCGTGACCCGTCAAAACCGCGGTCCACAAAAGCACGATCGACGAAAGCGCGCATTTGACGTCATCACAGTGCGACGAAAAAAATTAAAAATTGAAATAAAAATAAAATTAAAGCAAGCCGATTCACATAAAGGTAAGGGTTAGGGTTAGGGTTAGGGTTAGGGTTAGGTTAAGGGTTAGCGTTAGGTTTAGCGTTAGGTTAACGGTTAGGTTTAGGGTTAGATTTAGGGTTAGGTTAAGGGTTAAGTTTAGGGTTAGGTTTAGGGTTAGGTTTAGGGTTAGGTTTAGGGTTAGGTTTGGGGGGGGTTAGGGTAAGGTTTTCGCTTTATTTTTACATTTTTCGATCACAGTGCGATGTTTTCGTCGCGCTGTGATGACGTCAAATGTGCGCTTTCGTCGACCGCGATTTTGTCGTCCGCGGTTTTGTGGTGGAACCATCAGTAATATACCTCCACATGAATTTCTACATATTTCAGGTCATGGTATGGAGGCAATGGAATATGCGTTAGCCAAATGATGTTTACCTCATCATCAGCAAGCTCCCTGAGAACAGTCAGTCTT